GTATAATATATTTTCAGGGCATACAATATCGGCATGTCGTGCATGGACGAGTGGATGAAGCGTTGTCTGCCAACAGACGGTCAGAAAATCATACAGCGACAGATAGCTGGTGCGCAGATTCTCATGCGCTATCTCTGCTCAAATGGAACTGCTGTGAGAAAAGGTCAGTCCTACTTTATTACGATAATAATGTATAACTTTCGTTTAACTAACAACCATAGTTAATATGACCTAATATGCGCTGGTCATACTTAATTATTGCCAGTTTTAATGTTATGTCATAATCATTTTCTGTTTTATGTTTATGTAAACTGAAAATTCTGAGTATAAAGTATTATTATAGCCATATTATTAGCTGTATTCTATTGTACTGGTGTGTAGAGTACCTGCGAGAGCCAGCGTGCCTGGCAATGGTGTCAGCCGATTGGTCGGGCTGTGTGGACGATCTGCAAATGGCTGTCAGAGATATCGCAGAGCGCTCTCAGCAAATTGTTTACTTCAACAGAAACTCAGAATTTTGTTGGTAAGAAAGTACCAGGAATTTACTGTATCTAATGTTTGCTTACATCTCTTTGGCACTGCGCAGATCTTATTTATTTTAAGTATATTTAATGTATTTTATAGTATAGTTTTAGCAAATAGAGAGAATTTAGCGCTAACTTGTAATCTAGAATCTCACCAATTTTTCACATAGGTTTTTCACATTTTAATTTTCGAATTCATTCGACGTTTTCACGGTATAGGAGAACATTGTGATGGAATCTGCACAAGTAACGAATTTAGTCCAACACTTTGATCAACGTGGTAGACTTAGAGAACGAGTTCCTCGGTGGGCACGTATATCCGGTGACGTGGAATATTACTAAATAAGGACATTGTTGTGTGCAGCGCCCGTGACGAGTTCCTGGCGTGCGTATCGCGCGCGGCGCGGGCGTGCTCGGCCAGGGCGGGCACCGTGCTTCGTCGTATCGCGTGGGTGCTGGCACAGGATGTCGCGGCGTGCAGCAACGAACCGCGCGCGCACTGTGCTGCCCCTCAGCCGCCGCCAGCGCGCCTCACTGCACCACTGCTCACCGCGCTATACGCACTGCTCTTCCCGCCTCTACAATAGATGAGCCGAGCTATGAAAGCGTCTGGCGCTTAGTACGTTTTGATGTTTACGTTAAATAAGTTCATTCGGTTCATTTCATGCAGTAGATGTTCTTTGTCTGGCCATAGTTCTCTCGAAGAATCCAGGCCATATGAAGGATCTGAGCGCTTGGTGGACGACGAAAGATCGTCAATGTATCCAAAAGTGATGGGGCAAACAATACAGAGGATCGTCATCTCATAAAAGGGATATACGCACTTTGTGATCCCAACTATAGGTCTGCGTCTGCTAAGAACCGCGTGGATTGTGTTCTTTTTGCTCTTGCCACGTGCATGCAGAAGCAATTTTGATCGTTACTATATTTTGTTGGAGGCCAACGTATGCTATTCAGGTAGAAGCGGTTTAATAATGTATTTAAATAAGGACAACGATGTCTTTAAAGAAGACATAAATTTTTTAATTAAATGTAAAGATGGATGTAATAAATAATTAAGGACATCCTGGTCTTTTATTCAAAAGAAGCCATTCCGCGCGGAAATAATTTTGATTCAATAAACAGTTCTTTTAAGTATATAATAAAGGTTAACGCGCATTTGTCCACTCCTCGTCCACTTGGCGGGCGCGGTTTACTCGTCGCCGCCTCGAAGTCATATATATATTGTTACCAAAACTTTCCATAAAGCGGTAGGCGATGCCTCGGTGTCGTATCGTCTGGACGATTAACAGTTGGGTTGATGGCGAATATGACGTAACGTTTTGCTAATTTTATATTTTAATCTCTCTCAATCGGACACGACATGTGTGACGTGCCGGGTGGGCGATGAGTTGACAAATCCACGTTAACCTTAAAGGCGGGTTCAATTGTTTGTAAATGTTGGGTACCCATTACTGATTAAAATTAATAAGTTGGAAAATATGTAGGTAATC